ATATATATATATTGTTTTGTTTTTTATGAAAAACTGAAAATTAAAGATGCACAAACCCGATTTAGAATCTAATGCTTTGATACCAAGATCATGAGAACCCTAAAGAGAACAATGAAACCCACAGCACGACAAGGGATTTTGAAATTCTAAAAAAGCTAAATCAGATTTATAATAGAACTTTGATTCATTGTTTATGTCGCAACAAGAGCCGAAGGTAAAAAACCTTGACTCATTGTTTATGACACAACAAGAATCAGGGATATAAAGTTAGTTGACACCACACCCTTGAACAATTAAAGATGAGAATGATAAGTCAAGTTAAAACACCACAAGAATAATCTTGATAAGTTCTGTAAAATTTCTGTAAAATTTCTGAAACGAATCAAAGAAAAAAGTCTCTCAAATACTCATATTCAATGGCTTCCTCCCAATTACAGTTACAAGCCTTTTAAATAAGGAAAACTAATCATAATCAAAATAGGAAACTAATACTCTAAATCCTAAATTTAATAACCACAAATTAGGCTTCAAATAAATGAATGTTCAGCCCAAAAATAATAAAAAAATCATGAAAATCACTCAAAATAACCTAAAAACACATGAAATATCAATTTACTACAAATTGCGACAAAATTGTGCAATTTTAACACAAATTGTGTAATTCAACGTGAATGACCTCAATTAAGCTTCTCTTGAACCTAAATGTTGTTTACCATGCCTTGATAATCATCTAAACTTCGATTTACTTGTTTTATATTGTTTTCAATGTAGATTTGCTCAATAAAGCCATTTATAACTTTTCGTACCTTCTTAGCTTTAGCCGTTGTCACCATTGTTTTAAAAATCGAATCGAACCGATTGGATGGATCGATCTGGCCGGTTGAACCAATTGTCGATACCCGATATTAAAAAAGGATCGAGTCAACATGTAAAACCAATAGAGTAATTGAACCACTCAAAACCAATAGAACCATTCGGACCGATACAAACTAACAGTTCAACCGAACGGTTTAAATCCTTTGGAGAAATTTCTTTAGATTTGCTACTCTGGGGGTTTGAACGCATGGCTTGAAAGAGTTCTTTTGTGACATTTGCCACTGGGACGCAGCCTCTTTGATTGAAACGGTTTGCTAACAATTTCATTTATTTTATTTTTCAAAGAAAAGAATTGCCTGCACAAGCAAACTTCCTTCCCTTGTATCATTAACTTTAAGTTAAAATTAATATAGTGGTTTAGCTAATTTTTATTTTAAATATATAAATTAAAAA